TCGCTCATATAAACCCTCCTCATTCTCGCTAATTGGACTCCCAGAGATCCACCCGGGGCCTAGTCATGGATCTCTGCATCCAGATCCCTCAGTAGTTGGATGAGGTTTCTAGCACAACAATTAGGGTGTTTGGCCATCCCATCACCAGAGTAGGTCAGTTCGGGCTGTCTCTCGACCACTGCCAGCAGTCTGTTGTGTGGGTATCTTTGTGGATTTCTGTGGGCCTCTCTAGCACTTTGCTTCTTCCTATTCTCATGTGGTCTTTATTTACCATGGTCTCCTATTCCTTGTTCTCCCTCTCTGTTGTTGATCCAGCTGGGATCTCCCGCTCCCCCAAGCTCTCTTTCCCTCAACCCTCGCCTTTCATTACCCCCACTCATGTCCAGGCTGTTCATGTAGATCTCATTCCATTTCTCTGTCATTGGGCGATCCCTGTGTCTTTCTTGGGGTCCTGTTTTCCAGGTAGCCTCCCTGGTGATGTGAGTAGCAGACAAGGAGATGACAGTATTTTAGTGTGATGATTTGCCAGATGATGAAGCTGAATTAATCACTTGTCAGGATTTCCCTAAAGCTTTGCTTCAGTATCATTGTCATCTTGCATCACGCCTGGACAGTCGACGGTGACATCCACTCACTGCTAGAGGAGTGTGTTTCTTGGAAGCTCAAAGAGACAGAAGCATAAACACGCACCTTGAATTTGCCACTGCTGTTTGAGTTTGCTCTTCTGTTTTTGAGACAGGGTTTTACCACAGAGCTCAGGCCTGCTTAAACTTGCCAGGGAGCCCATGCTGCCCTCAAACTTGCCCCAGCCTTTCAAGTGCTGGGATTATGTGTCAGCACGTCTAGTTTACAGCTGCTCTTACTTGTAAATGGTCACTGGAGTCCTGACTCGGGTCAACACATGCAGACATAGAGTACATGTTGCTGTAATAATTTCCGTCGTAAAACTTTAGCTGACATGGGGTCTGCTGTTGGTCACTAAAGTCACAGATTCACTATTATTATGGCCTTAAATAGTTGACATAATTTTATTGTATAGCCTGAATGGAACAAAAATCATTATGTAATTCATTTTGCTCATTGAAACCTGGAAATAAATATGGGCTCTCCTCGTACATTTCTTTGACACTGTTGTGAGCATCTAAGAAATTATCAGTGTAAATAATAGAGTATTTTCATACACAATCCAGACACTTCATACTGTACACTTCGTACTGAAAATTTCAGTCACTGAAAAGAGAATGATTGCTTATTGGGCACAGTGCTTGATGCACAAATGTGGGGAATGGAGTTTAACACCCTAAATGTCAGGTGGCATGGTGGCCCACCTCTTACCCCAGCACTTGGGAAGCAAAGACAGGGTGTCCCTAGAGCCATTTGGCTAGCTTGACAAGCTGAATTCATGAGCTCAGTATATAAGACAAAGAGGAATGAAGAGCAATCTTAGAAGACACCCAATGCAACTCTTTGTCAAGACATATGTAGCCTAACACATGCATATTTGGACACACATACACACACAGTCAGAGATACTCACTCAAAGACACAGACACACACAGGTCTCTCTCTCTCTCTCTCTCTCTCTCTCTCTCTCTCTCTCTCTCTCTCTCACACACACACACACACACACACACACACACACACACACACACACACACACTGTACCTTTCCATAGTTCTGTAGCTGAGAAACCTTGTAGACTAGTTGGAAGGTTGTTTGACGAGAGTCTGTGCATAGCTTTCTGGAATGTAAGTTTGGGTGGTCCAGTCAGAGCACACTTCCCAGGCTTGTGAAGTGCCTGTCATCAGAGAGCACAGTACATGACTACAGATTGAACTCACCTGCCCAGCTTGCAGACACTCAGTCTTCATCTGGACCCCAGATCTTCAACATCTTGCCAGTTGTATCAGAGCTCCACTTTCCAGGCAATTCTGTATGCCTTCAATACTGTTCCACTTATACACAGATGCACAAAAATCACATGTGTTCTTATTCTTTAGGAAGATAGTTATTTCCATAAATTACCAGAGCTGGTAGAGGTACTGCTTAATAAAACAATATGTGTTCCCACTAAAAAATTAGTAAATTACACAAAAACAAAGGAAAATGAATCAGAATCCTGTTATCCAGTGTTAACCAATGAAACATTGATAAATGCCTCTGTAGTTTCTATTGTATGCACAAAATAACATGTTTTCAGAATTGAGATCATATAAAAATCATTTGATGACTTGCTTTCTTTAAGATAACACTGAATCCCAACACCAATTCCTGTGTATATTTCCATTATGCAAAATGACCACAATTTATCCTTTGTTGGACACCCCGATTGCTCTGAACTATCAGTAACGTACCATTATCAATAACATCCTAATTTCTTTTCCAGAAATATTCTGCCTATATTTTTCTTGATGGCTGACTAATTAATGATCTGGGCCCCGGAGCAACTGCTCTTGGTGCTGAAGTTACTGGGTAAAGGAGAGTCATGAACGGCCGGGCACTGGCTTTGTGTTCTAGAGAGAGGACATGGACTCTTTCAGCAGATGACTGAGCATCTCTTCATAGTCACCTGGTGATCAAACTACTGTCCCAGGAGAGAGGAGAATCAGAGGGACTGCCATGTAACAGGCACTTGAAATGTGCTTGTCTTCAACGCAAGGCAGGCTGTTTGATGCAATTGAATGGAGAACATTTGTTCCTGGATTTACAGGGCTATGTCTGGCTGAGCTTCACTAATAGAAAGTACACAATTTTTATATTTGTAAGGCAAGATAAATATTTACTCATTTGTCCTTGAACCCAAACTAATACGATAAAATTCTCACAGTCAGATGATAGATTTCACAGTGTCTGCTTTATTCACCCTGTGTCTTCAATGCCTAGCCCATCGCCTCACCTAAAGGAGGTAAATAGATATTTGATGAGTGAAGACAAACAGTAAAGTGAAAATATCTCATTTCAGTTGCCGGTCAAGCCTTGGCCCCACTTCTGTGAGAAGTGAGGCTCATATAGGTACGTTTCTTCAGTTGTATTGCATAATTAGAGGAAGCAGTACCACAGAGTCTGCATCTGATCCAGGTTCTCTGTGCAAGACACAGTTTTCATTTTACAGTTGCAGCACATTTATGTCTCCTGGTTGATACATTATTTTCCTGGAAAAGAAGCTGTTTCCCAAAAGATCTGCTTGGGCTGAAGATCCTGTCTCTTTTGAGAGATATCAAACCACCATGCAATCCCCACTAGCTTATGCTGCTACAGAAACACTGAGAAACTGTCAATGGCTCAAAATATTGGACCTTTGTGAGTACTGGGCAGAGGTTTCTCTGATAATCAGTTGTGTTATGAGGTACATGAGTGAATTTATGAAGTATATTTTAAGCGTCGACTTTGTACTTGGTAATAGAAATAAAAAGACACTCAAAGGTGCATAGATCAGTTCAGGAATGTCATGTGTTGTTAGTGGCTAAGTAGGGATGGATAGGGACCAGAACTACCACAGCTGCAAATTTATTTCAATGGAGATGATGAATTGGAGGTGACACTATTCTTAGGTGGAGTTGTAGGATGGGTAGGGATTAATGGACAGAAAAATAAGGCAGAGGATTTTAAAACACAAGCAGTTCAAGCGGGTACTCAAGAGGGTGCTATATCTCTGGGCCAAGTGGGGCCTCACACAGGGCTTGTGCCTGTGATGGGAGGTTGTAAGGGCCGAGTGTTGGGTGTATCATGGTGCAGCCACCGTGGAGTGTGCCGTATGGACAACGAAGGTTGTGGGAAGGGGCCACACCCTTCAGTCACTGATGCCATTGATGTAAATAAAGACATTTCTTTCCTATAACAGTCTTGATTTTCTTTCCATTTGGGATTTTCAAATTTATTATCTCTTTATTATCTCTTAATCCAGATGGCACAATGGTCCAAACATCATTATGATTTTTCTGAATTATTTTCTATTCATTTGTTTATTACTCATTTTCATAGATAGGATGTTTTCAATATTCTCTTACTTGAACTTTGTATGTGGTGGCCAAAGCTAGGCTTGGTGATTTGCCTTATTTTAATACATAGTGGCAACCATTTATGGAGCCAGTTCCACAAACGATCTTTACAGTACATACATGAAATGGACACGGACACCAAAATAGACATTGATACGGCTAAGCCACAGATGAAATGGGGACCATTTCTACAAAGCCTTTGGAAAACTCCATGTAGACTCCTGGAAACGTTAGCTGAGTAAAGGTGGGAGATGAAGAAAGTGAAGTTGTTGGTATTAGGTGAAAATGTTGGTAACGTTGTAGATACCAATGGGAAATTCTAAAGTTCTTTTATTTTTTCTTTTTGAGTCGGGGTCTCCCTGTGCACCTCAGACTGGCCATGAAATCATGACCCCTCCCCATCTTTAGAATACCAGTATTACAGTGTTCAGCAAAGTTCATTGTTTAAAAGCACTTAAAAGCTTATGTATAATTTATTTGTTTAAATATACTTTCATTTGCTATTGAATAAGCAAATGTGTATTTGCTTTAAAGTTTTTATTCCCAGAAGTATAAGTCTAGTTGCTGATATCAATGTTTGTTTCCACATGAGTCTGTTTGTACACAGTGGAATAACATTTTTGTAGTCTTTCTTTTTTTTTTTTTTGGTTTTTCGAGATAGGGTTTTTCTGTGTATCTTTGCATCTTTCCTGGAACTCACTCTGTAGCCCAGGCTGGCCTTGAATTCACAGAGATCTGCCTGCCTCTGCCTTCCAAGTGCTGGGCTTAAAGGGTTGTGCCACCACCACCCAGCCATTTTTGTAGTCTTCATGTAAGTTTGAATTAAAAGATTCTGTGGTCTGCATCCACAATTTATGCCACCATTCATCAGTATTTTGCAAAGTAGCAGCACTTTGTGGTTTGTGGTATAAAGGTCACGTCACATTTGTAGTCTGCTTGGAAACTATGGGACAGAAGAAATGCCTGTGATCAACAGCTTTCCCCATTTTGTTTATTTTCTAGGTAACAATGGCCAACATTGCAATAAATGGAAACAATTCCCCAGTGACCTGTGAAACGACACTCTTTGCTCTCCGAATGGCAACGTGGAATCAGATCTTGGACCCCTGGGTCTATATTCTGCTCCGGAAGGCTGTCCTTAAGAACTTGTATAAGCTTGCCAGTCATTGCTGTGGAGTGCACATCATCAGTCTGCACATCTGGGAGCTTAGCTCCATCAAGAATTCCTTAAAGGTTGCTGCTATTTCTGAGTCACCAGCTGCGGAGAAGGAGAGTCAGCAAGCATCTAGTGAAGCAGGACTGTAGGTCAATGGGGGGCTAGAATAAAATGGGGGGAAGTTTTGGAAACATCTCAACTGATCAGATTCATAGCCTAACTGGAACATTTGGACCTTGGTGTGTAGCTTGGGAGTACACTGGACAGATGAAGCTTCCGAATTTCGTTATGCTGGCTGGTGCATGGTTGTGCATTTTTACTTGTTGTTGTCAACAGGAGGTAAACTGATTCAATGTGATGGAGTTCAGTGGAACACAACTTTTGAGTTTAGCTGTGTGACTTGTGTTTTTGGAATAAATGAATCTGTTGAAGCCCAATGCCAATGAATACTTGACCTGTTTGTTCAAGACACCTTAATGCTACCTGCACATGGCCATTTCATTGACTTATAGATAAGACTCAGAGTAACACAAGACTCTGAACCTGTTTGTGTGTGTGGTTCTTGTCTGTTTACCAGTCTACATATCCTCAATCAGTGTCTGCGTGACCATGATATTGGGGATTCACAGTGGCTAGTGATGACCACTGCATATTCTGGGTCAGCCTGACCTTGCGGGGCTGATGAGCATGGCCATTCTTGTCATAACTGACACATGTACTTGCTCGCATTTGTTGTTATGAAGGTCAATTATTGTTTGAAGTTTTTTTCTATAAAGTAATAGATTTTCAGTGTTTAAGTGATCTCCCTTTCCTCTGAAAATTGTAGAGAAACACAGACTTTGTCTTAGCACAGGTTCAGCTCCTGTTAGCATATGCACTAAACCCTATCATGGGACTGTGCAAACCATCTAAATCCCAGGGATATATGCCAAGAACATGGCAAATATTGCTTTACTTAAGCTGTCATTTCTGTCAGAAAATAAAAGAAAAACAATCAAACATTCAAAGTCTATCTGCAGCTAGTGTGTTTCTGCTTTATAGACACAGCCTAAGGGAGTTCTGTTGACAGCAGCTTCACTAAATCTGTTGGGCCACATTTTCAAAGCCCGTGTTACCAGCGTGGAGGGAAAGATCTAAAATTAGCCAGGAGTTGGGGACGTAATTGGGGACTTAGGGTTAATCAGAGACCAAGGAACAAGACTCTGTCCCCAAGTTTCCCAATCATAATCCACACTCCTCCTTTGCTTGTTTGTATAATTTAACACAAAGATTTTCAATTTGAGTAATTATTACAAGCATTGTAGGTCCATCAGTGACTAGGGTTAGTGGTTATGGTTCATAAAGAAATGCATTTTTATATTTAAAAAAGTCCTTGCTTTCATCAGGTTTGTCTGATTTAAAAAATATTACTTTTTTTCCTTTGCAATGTGTGTGGGTGTTTTGCCTGAATGCATTTCTGTGCATCATGTATCTTTCTGGCACCTACTGAGACCAGATCGCGTAGGAGTGGAGTGACAGATGTTGTAAGCTACCATGCGGGTGCTGAGAATTGAACCCAGCTCTTCTGGATGAACAGCCAGTGCTCTTAAATGCTGAGCTCTTCCTCCAGCCTCTAAAAGGTGTTTTTATCTGTAAAAATGATTTCAGATTCTAGGAATCCTGAGAATTCAATCAAATTAAATTAATGCCCATATTAACTTCTCCTTTTGGTTGGGAGTTTACATTAGTTGTGATTACTGATTTTGATAAATTCTCATGAGTAAATTAAAAGAAACTAAGCAAATAGCCTTGTTGAAGACTTAAAGGAAATTGTAGTGAATTTAAAAGGAATACATACTATTATGTGACAATATCAATTTAAAGACAATAAGAGACAAACTATACAACTGATTCTTATGCAGAGACTATGTCAGATAATAGACAAAAATATCCTGGTGTAAACTGAGCATGGAGTTTTAAAGGTTGTGCCCAAATTAAATTTATGCTGACAACTACATGTATATGTATATATGTGTGTGTGTCCATGTGTACATGCACGTGTATATGAATTTGTGTCTGTGTATTGTAAGTACATGTGTATGTATAATGCATATGATTGTATAAAGCCATTACAATTTGTGATTGCTGTTACATTACATAAATGTTATCATGTTTAATTTCAAGAGCACTTAAAGCTTAGAAAAACTTGTAGATGGTTCACTTACTTTGAGAGCTGGTATTTATTTCCTACAGAGATAAGGTGTTGGGATCCTATAAACTGAGGCATGAAGAAGCAAATCTCCATTTTTCTTCATTATAGTTGTTAAAATTCTGCAATGTACATTTGTATTTCAGCTGAGGAAAGGCGCTGAGAAGGAACCTGCTCCGAGGCCCCAGGTCCCTTCTCTGTGAGCCTCTAATACAGACAAAATTGTTCCTCTATTGCTATGATGTCACCCTGGCCATGCGCGTTTACCATGAGACCATCTTGTGTCATCATCATGTCGGGGAGAAAAGGTTCTGGGAAGTGACAAAGGAGTTATTCTGTGCATATTCTGGAAGATTTACCCATACTATCTGAGCACACACAATTTAACTGATCTTAAGAGGAGGCCAAACCCACAGTGTAAACATAAAAAGTTGAAAAAAGTTTAATGTATATACCTGACTCCAAAATTCTGTTTATTATTGTAGCTGTTTTATGGAGCTTAGTTATACCACAGTTTATTGTGTAATGAGCAATAGAGGGGAACATTCACTGATAACTTCCTGAGTTATCAGTGTGAGTAAAAGTGTGTTTGTTCTTATTCGTTATAATAAACAGTAGAAATAGTTCCAACAAGCTCACAATGTGAGAGTTTAAGCTCTGCTTTGACACTTGTAGTCTGTTTCATGAGGCCAACTGTTGGACACAACTTCACGTACTATCCAAACATTGGATTTCTGGAGAATTACATTCTTATACATAAACAAACACTGAACATTTCTGACCTTTTTGGAGTCTTTGTAATTGTTTAATGAATATGAGATAAAATACATATCACTTTTTCAAGAGAGCATACTGAATTGTAATTAGCTGTGGGTACAACTAAAAACATGATACTTGCTGGTGGGTTTAATGGGGGTGATAGAGATATCCTAAAGACAGGATATTGCTTTTAATTGTCTCTGAAGTAGAAAATTCCTAGATGCCAACTTGCACATAAATGGATATCTGTTATGTAACAAATAGTTGTATTTTCTCACTTTCAGTCTTAAAAGGCAATTCTGCTGTGTGCTTAATGTGAGGTTAGGGCCTAAATAAGAGTACTTACTAAATATATAGAATAAGATTTTGTGGAAACGGTATGTTACCTGCTTCACTACAAATGAACTGCTTTCTAGGATCAGAATATAAAAACTGGGATTGTACATTTTCTGAATTCTTCACCTGGTTATCAGAAGAATTTACCACTTGGTAAATAATGTTGGACTTCAACTCATTACTGACACATTTCAATTGGAGAGGAAAAGAGTGATCCTTTTGTTATGTGAACAAATATATTTTGTGCTCCTCATACTTGCAGTAAAAGAGTAAATGATAACATATGTGTATAATAATATACTCTTACTTGCATTAATACTGACTCTTACTTGCATTGCATGCTGTTTAAAAGCTTTGGCTAGCTTGAAACTTCAAATGATTTTATGACAAGCATGGACTAATAGTTATCACTAGAGGTTAGCTTTAGGAAGTCATACAAATGTGGGACTCCTGAGGGGGAATTTTTATTTATATTTGTTGTAGGGTTAAGTGCTTCAATTTGCTTTTTATGCTTTGGTTCCTCCTTCCCTGCCCATTCTTCTGTGCTATTTGTGGTTCTTTTCCTGAGCCTCACTTCCCCTAGGCACATCAAAATTCAGATTTCATTGATTCTAAACTGGTGGGGTAGATACAGTTAGTCTACAGATGTCCATCATTTCCATCATATCAAACAGTTTCAAATGTCAGTGACATAATCCTCACAAAGGTTTGTACCTTGCCTGTGGCTCCTGTCTAGTAAGCAATCTGGCCACTGGACTCACTTCTGAGAACTCAAACATGAATTAGCTACCATTATATGTTGTTCTTATGTCACATGATTTAAGGTGAGACAGGAAGGTATTAGCTTGCTGGACCTACTGTAGCAAAGCACCACAGACTGAGCCAGTGACATTAGCTGGACTTTTCCTGACATTTGTGGAAGCGAGAAGGACCAGCGTATGGTTAGGGTATGTCTCCTTGTCTTGTAGATGTGCCTTTTCCTGTTGTCATCAACCGTCTGTGAGTTTCTATGCTTCTGTCTTTCCTTAGGAGGACAGCAGCAGCCAAGCTTGAATAGGATTCATTCTAGTTATCTTTTCTACCTTAGTTACCATAGAAAGATCTTACTAACACAAATAATCACAATATTCGACAATTGGGAAGTCATAATTCAGACTGTAGCAGCAGCACAGACAGTGACATTGACATGTAGTACAGTGACTGACACAGAGGGACCGAGTCTTAATACGGGGGTGCATCCCTTGGAGATAGGTGGTTTCTCAAATCAAATTGCTGTGACCTGCTGCATTGACTGATTTGGTAAGTCTGGGGTTGTAGGAGGGGAATGTATTTTGTAATGGGACTTCAGATGAGGATATCAGACAATGTTAGTCGGAAGAACACACTTTGGGAAACTCCTGTTTCTACAGTATGTGGCTAATCAGCCACATGTTGTGGCATGAAATGCACAAAGAACAAAGAAGCTTTGTAAAAATGCAAAATTTCGTCGCTATTTTCATACTAGTCATTTCATACCTAGCCTGAGTTTTCTCCCCAGCCCTAAGCAAATTGATTAGAAAAAAATGTTTGCAGAAACACAGACAAAAGTTGTATAAAAACAACCCAAGCAGACAGAGAAGCAAGGTTTAACTGGTCTCTGGTCTCCTACTGGTTTCAGAAGACTTGTTCTTAAACAGACAAAACGTCTACACTCACCTCTTAGAATAGTGTTTGCAGTTGGACTTGTAGCTAGACTCTTCTTTCCTTTGTGTCTCTCCCTCCTCCCTCCTTCTTGAAAGAACTTGAGGCCATTTGGATTGATTTTATGTTTTCCTCCCTACAATTCCAATGTTTACAATATTTCTATCCTTCTTTGATCTTGGTATTTTCCACTCTTGTTTGAGTCCAGTTGGTTTTAAAATCACTTCCCACTGTAGTAAAAAAAATAACTTTAGTCGGTTGTTGGCTTTCTACATGAGTTCTGAGTATTTATTTCCAAATAAGATGAGAGAGAGGTTAATACTTTCATTCTACGGCAAATAATTATTAAAATGGATTCTATTCAATGGGATTAGGATGGCAATTGAGACTAAATGGATGAAAACAAAATAAAAATACATTGACAATCAAGTCTCAACCTAAAGGCATCTATTTATTAAAGTTTTTGTTTGTTTT